CCCCTGAAGGCCGCGGATATTCCACTGTAAATAGGCCATGATTGGTCGATAAAGGTAAAAATACCAAGGAATCCGATGAAAGGCACCTACGGACTAGAGGGGTTAGAAAATGACAACGTGTGGTGCATTGGAAGACGTTCAAGTAGCGAAGGAACGGAGCGTTGCGAAGAATGGGGTTTGTGAAGATGGAGGAGAGGGAAGAGAAGGAAAACAGGAAGTGAATCAGTGTCCATTGAAGGTTTAGTCTCTGCAATATATTCTGAAAATGGCTTCAAGTGTTTCTGAATTCAAAGATGTATGGGAGACCATATTGGAGATAGAAGGGGGAGGGTGAGTAAAGATTGGGACAGTAATGGACTGTACCAAAGTAGAGGGGGAGGGAAGAGTGTAAGGGACTGAAGATGAAGTTGGGGGGACAGAAGAGGCAGAAACCTGGGAGGTGGCAGAAGGGGGAGAAACTTGGGAGGGGAGGGGGGTGGAAGCATAGAAACGAGGAGGAGGGTGAATCTCCACACTTTTTTAATAGAGCCAGAGAGAGGGGAAGAACTGGGTACGGGAGACTGGAAAGGTAAAAGGGGAGGTGGAAGAAGGGAAGGGGGGCAAAGAAGATTTGAGCAATGTGGATTTTTTGGACTTCTGGAAGTAGAGGGCCGATTGGTATTAGGTGTCGTACGAGGTCTGTCGATAGGGGGCTTGTGAGGAAGGACGTGAAGATGTGAGAACAGACTGAGTTGTAGTCGGGACGTCAGAGCCAAGGACAGCAAAAGTATTAGATGCCGTAGTGGCAAATGGGAGGGGTAACAACGAGGAGGCTGCAGAAGAGGGGAAACCCCCAGAAGTGGGGGGATGTTTGGAAACACGAGAATAAGAAACACGGGGTAGTCTCCCTTGGAGGGGGAGATGAGTAACTGCCATAGCATAAGGGAGACCTTCTGCCTCTTTGAGGCAACGGATTTCACGTTCATTTAAGTAGACCTGGCAACGGCAGGAGTACGAAGGGTGAGCTTCCATTACAATTAAGGCAAGATGGAGTTGACTGCAAGATGTATTAGAATGGTCGTCGCACCACAGACTGGCATTGGGCCCATAGATCTGCAATATTTCGCTGGTGACCAAAACGCCAGCAATTTCTACATTTTTTGTGGTAAGCTATCCCCTTTTCGAACTTGTAACCGATGTCCCGCGACATATACAGAGGCGGGAGTTCTCGGCTGTCAAAAGTTAAACTAGCCACATTGCAAGGGTAAACGCCCTCCGCCCCCGGGCAGGAAGGACATAAGTGTCTATTTGAGGATTGGGAGATCCTGGGGTTCCAGCTGTTCAAAAATGTCATTGCCACATGACTGGAAATTCTGTTGGACTATGGTATGGGGCAGAATGACAGTAAACCCCTACAAGAATTGAGAGAAAGATGTTTTTCAATAGTGATAGGAGTAGTATCGATAAATTTGAAAGGAGAAAAGATCATGAGCTTGGGTAGCATTCTGGACAGTGACGATGTGCATACCGCTCTTGAGAGCACGAAATGGGAAAAATCTCTACCAACATGACGCAGGAGCGCTTTTGCCAATACTATGGTCAGAAAGGTAGGCAGAAGAAGAAGTCGGTCTTAAAGTAAAGAATTTAGTCCCCTTGTGTGGTCCGAACCGAGCGTGGAGAGGGGGGTGCTTGACGTGTCGGTCTTTTCCGAGTAGAATGGGAAGGTAACGAAGGAGCATCATCAGGAGATTGACGTTGGCGTTTAGGAGTAGGACTGGAGTTGGTCCGGCGTGAAATGGGAGGGCGATTCGAAAATTGCCGTACTGTAGAGGGAGAAGCCGGAAGCGTAAGTCAAAGGAGAGCTGAGTTCAGAACAAATCGAAGGAGTCAGTCGAAGCCCCGGGACCTGAAGCGGGTTTAGGAAACAGCACCAGCAAGAGGTACAGGGGGATCAGGAGTGTCCGAAGAGTGGTCTAAACACCCAAAGGCAGGTCAGAATGGGATGCGTATCAAAAGGGGCCCAGGGTAGTGGGTTCATGGACTAGGGCTGCCATGGTTAGGTTACTCCTTTGCTTTTTGTTTTTGAAAAAAAAAGAAAGAAGAAAAGAAAATATAAATAAAAAAAGAATAAAAAAAGGGGGGGGGCGGGGAGGAATAGTTCCCAGGAGGAATGAATGGGCCGGAAAATCTCCCCCGCGCCCAAGAGGACCTCAACACCGCTAGTAGCGCAGATGCAGCTGGAACCCGTGCCATACCCTACCCTTCATGCCTTACGTAAACCAGCAATTTGGAAAAACCAACCTCACAATCTGCCGAGCTACCTCGGGGACAAAAGAGAGGGCGGCCGATATCCGCCACAAAGCAAAACCCCCTTTGCCACCACCCCCGGAACCGAAAGGTGGCTTCCAGAGATACACCCGTCGCTCGAAAAATACCCAAAGCTACTCCGGATACCGGGGAGGGATCGGGACATCCCCCTGCAATCCAGATTCCACGGCAAACTACGCCACCGCCAAGAACCTCAACGGAAGGGATGGACCCCGGTGTTTCCTTTCCCCTACCTAGGAACTAGCGCGCCTGTGGGAGAAATCCCAAGGCCAAAAAGAGGGGGGGGTGGGGAGGGGGAGGATGGGGTAGGGGAGGGAGATTGGGGGTAATTAGGTTCGGGCTGAGGGGGGAAGACCCACAGGTAATTCCTCAACCAAGACCTCTTCACCACGCCAAGCAGGGTGGCCCAAAAAGAAAACAAAAATTTATCTTTTCAACTTTAGCAATGTATACAGGATAAGGGGTTACTAGCCTCTTGCTCCTGGCATTTTAGTTGCTTCTTACGACACGCATGGCTTACGGAGGAAGAATTCTGTTCCACTTCCCGATGGAGATAAGAGGAAATAAACAAGAACAAGAACTAGTAAGAAAATAAAAGAAAACCCAGAGGGGTGTATATATATATATATATATATGCTTGTACATGCATGTGTAGTGTGGCCTAAGTGTAAGAAGTAGCAAGACGTACCTGTTTATGAGAGAAAAAAAAAAAGACACCAGCAATCCTACCATCATGTAAAGCAATTACAGGCTTTCATTTTACACTCACTCGGTAGGACGGTAGTACCTCTCTGGGCAGTTGCTGTCTACCGACCTGCTACCTAGAATTCTTCTTCTTTCAACGTACCAGCTGTATCCCACCGAGGTGGGGTGGTAATATATACAGGAGAAGGGGTTACTAGCCCCTTGCTCCCGGCATTTTAGTCGCCTCTTACAATATGCATGGCTTACAGAGGAAGAATTCTGTTCCACTTCCCCAAGGAGATAAGAGGAAATAAACAAGAACAAGAACTAGAAAGAAAATAGAAAAAAAAAACCCACAGGAGTGTGTATATATATGCTTGTACATATATGTGTAGTGTGACCTAAGTGTAAGTAGAAGTAGCAAGACGTACCTGTTTATGAGACAAAAAAAAACAAAAAAACAAAAAAAAAAAAAAAGACACCAGCAATCCTACCATCATGTAAAGCAATTACAGACTTTCGTTTTACACTCACTCGGTAGGACGGTAGTACCTCCCTGGGCAGTTGCTGTCTACCAACCTACTACCTAGAATTATCTTCATGTATATTTCAACGTTTCAGAGTTGTATAAGGCACGTCTGTTTAATACTAATCATACCTTTCAAAAACAAATGCCTCTTCTATATATCATCAATCATGTTTCAAAAAGAAAAAAGGCAGGGCCATATGTATAAAATATCAATCATCCCTTTCACAAAAGAAGGGATCACACTGCACAAATTAACACTATTGAATTACTCACCTTTCTTGAAAACTGAATTCTCAGTTTTGTTTTTTGCTATACTAGTATATATCACCAGTATGTCCTGGGAAGATAATGTTCAACATAACCTGAGAGTTAGATACTTGCTGCAGTAAGCCTACTGGTCCATTCTAGGCAGGTCCTACTCGCACTGAAGTATTCCTACTCATGTATGTATCTATCCATTCAATCCAGCCCAACCTTGAAGCTTGCCAAAGTATTTGTTTCAAAGAGCATAAAACAGTAGCAAATAGAATTTTGAAGAAACTGTCCAAAGCCTCGACAGTGTAAGCCTGCAACTGCAACAGTGAAATGAAAACACTGAATGCTGGAAGCTAGTGTTGTGATTGATCATGCTTACTTCCGCTAAGGAAGGAAGGTGATAAGATTAATATCAAGCAGTGACAAAACAGTCACTGTCATCAACATGCAATGGTAGCAACTACAGAGATAAGACAACAATGGTTTTAGCACCAATGCCACCATAGGCACTACAACTACCACATCTGGTAACACCAGCATCACTTCTAACACCACCACTAATCCTTCTACAACCATTGTCACAACTATCACCACCACCACTACCCCTTCTATCACTACAGTCACAACTATCACCACCACCACTACCAACTTACCTTATTATATTTATGGAAAGCACTAAACCCAAAAGGATCATACAGCACCTGGAGAACAGATAACTGCTCGATTTCCTTCAATAAAGACACTCACAAACATGAAGGTACTTCTCTCCCCTAGAAGGGAAACAGACTATAATATACTTACAGAATTTATTATTACTTCCATGAGGAATTGTTTAAACCCACAGGGTCATACAGCACTTAGGGAATGGAAGGTAATCAGGGTCACTCTGACAAGGAGAGGGTAGCTCCAATTCCTTTGATCAAAAGCCATTCACCCACATCAAAGAACCCTTTCTTCACCTTAAATTACTTACACCACGATACACAAATAACCTGCACATAGGAGAAAGAAACTTATGATGATGTTTCAGTCTGACTCGGACTATTAACTAGTCACTAGTTAATGGTCTAACTTGGACCAAAACATTACAAGTTTGTTTCTCCTATGTGGGGGTTATTCACATGTTGTTCCAGTCACGGTATTGTGCCTTTTTATTCTTTAACACACCACAATATTCCACTATGCATGGAACACTAATATTTCCCAGTGTGGTAAAGAGCACACATTCAAATTACATACATTTATTAACTGGTCTAGTATACATAACTAATATTTTGGTTCAGACTTTTAGTTTAACATAAAGTTGGCAGTGTTTTATACAAACTTAATACTATTAGTAGACCAAACAGTCCATATGTATCAAATATGAAATTAAAATGATTAATAATAGCAATCAGGTGACTTGCACATAAAACATAAAAATATATAAAATGATTTATTAAAAGGCACTGACTAAGAACACTTTCAAGAAAAATCACAAAAGCAGAAGAGATTCATAGTGTATATATTATGTGCCAGAGATGTTAGTGTATATATCATGTGCCAGATGTTAGTGTATATATCATGTGTCAGAGATGTTAGTGTATATATCATGTGCCAGATGTTAGTGTATATATCATGTGTCAGAGATGTTAGTGTATATATCATGTGCCAGATGTTAGTGTATATATCATGTTGTCAGAGATGTTAGTGTATATATCATGTGCCAGATGTTAGTGTATATATCATGTGTCAGAGATGTTAGTGTATATATCATGTGCCAGATGTTAGTGTATATATCATGTGCCAGAGATGTTAGTGTATATGTGTCAGAGATGTTAGTGTATATATCATGTGCCAGAGATGTTAGTGTATATGTGTCAGAGATGTTAGTGTATATATCATGTGCCAGAGATGTTAGTGTATATGTGCCAGAGATGTTAGTGTATATATCATGTGTCAGAGATGTTAGTGTATATATCATGTGTCAGAGATGTTAGTGTATATGTGCCAGAGATGTTAGTGTATATATCATGTGTCAGAGATGTTAGTGTATATGTGTCAGAGATGTTAGTGTATATATCATGTGCCAGAGATGTTAGTGTATATGTGTCAGAGATGTTAGTGTATATATCATGTGCCAGAGATGTTAGTGTATATGTGCCAGAGATGTTAGTGTATATATCATGTGTCAGAGATGTTAGTGTATATATCATGTGCCAGAGATGTTAGTGTATATGTGTCAGAGATGTTAGTGTATATATCATGTGTCAGAGATGTTAGTGTATATATCATGTGTCAGAGATGTTAGTGTATATATCATGTGTCAGAGAGGTTAGTGTATATATCATGTGTCAGAGATGTTAGTGTATATATCATGTGTCAGAGATGTTAGTGTATATATCATGTGTCAGAGAGGTTAGTGTATATATCATGTGCCAGAGATGTTAGTGTATATATCATGTGTCAGAGATGTTAGTGTATATATCATGTGCCAGAGATGTTAGTGTATATATCATGTGTCAAGGGTTTAGTGTATATATCATGTGTCAGAGAGGTTAGTGTATATACATGTGCCAGAGATGTTAGTGTATATATCATGTGTCAGAGATGTTAGTGTATATATCATGTGCCAGAGATGTTAGTGTATATATCATGTGTCAGAGATGTTAGTGTATATATCATGTGTCAGAGAGGTTAGTGTATATATCATGTGTCAGAGATGTTAGTGTATATATCATGTGTCAGAGATGTTAGTGTATATATCATGTGCCAGAGATGTTAGTGTATATGTGCCAGAGATGTTAGTGTATATATCATGTGCCAGAGATGTTAGTGTATATATCATGTGCCAGAGATGTTAGTGTATATGTGTCAGAGATGTGAAGAAACTTCACACACTGCATTTATCAAAGGTGATGTTATACCCACTTGATAAACTCAAGGATTATACAGCTTGAGTGACATGTGTGTGTTACTGCTAACAAACACACAATGACCTTTTTTCCAGTTACTACATATAATCAATAAGTTTGAGCTGAGTATCACTGTTGATTACATTTACATGACTTTTAAAGACATTTTCAGTTTACAAATAAATATTTTTAATCATGCATTTCACTAAAATTTCTACAAAAAAAAATCTTAACAAATTTATTTTATGTAATTCAAAATTGTTAATAATAATATAAGAAACATGTTAAAAATAGCATATAACAGCACATATTTTTTTATGAAACATGAAATTCTTGTGTTGATAATCCTTTATAAGTAATTTTTTCATAACTGTCAGCTTCAATATTTCTAAATAAACCTTCACTCTAGTGAATGAACTGCTTACTATAACATAATTATCATAATAATCATGGAAATGCTAAACCTATAGGGGTGTTACACTGCCTGGGGAATGGTAAATAATCAGGTTCGATCCAAGGAATGGAAGAATACCTCAAACTCCTTGGATCGAAAGCCCTCCACCAGCCCATGATTGGCAAGAATGTTATTACGTGTAATTCACAAGCTTTTTCAAAATCATTCCTATGATCAATATTCAAGAGTCTGATTACTAACTCAATACTGCAATCAATCAACAGTAAAGCAATTAACTTTTAATGCATTTTTTTTTTAGAGCTGTGAGGAGTGGTGAGCTTTTGTGTGACCATCTAAATTGATAACACTGAAGATTTTTTTTTATTTGGTACCATATCCTAATTTATTCAGTGGTATAATAGCATAATTAAATCATTGGTACCACATCCTAATTTATTCAGTGGTATAATAGCATAATTAAATCATTGGTACCACATCCTAATTTATTCACTGGTATCACATTCTATCAAAATTTGGCTCAGAGGACCACACATGCATGTCTTAATTGATCTAATATACACAATCAGCAGTTTGTCTCAACCTTTCATGTTAACATCTGTTACTACACAAGATCTATGCATTTGCTTCACCAAATATAAAATATTTATTTTATTAGAACCAGCCATTATTTACACTGTTAACCAAAACAATTATATGTACTCTTGAAAATAAAAATTATAAATACTATTTTAACCTAAAAAATGGTGCTAATGCTGCATTTTCTTTCCAGGTAAATGAATAAGACCAAATTGTAGTGTGGCTTATATTTACCAATACTTACAAAAGACTGGACAGCATTACCTTTTGTGCTGGACAGAGTGGACACTATACTATAAGACGAGACACATAAGGCACGACCACGTGGACCAACAATACAATAAAGACCAAAAGTCAGCAGCAGTAGTATCAACTCTGCTATACTTTCTCTTCTTCACACCGAATTCTGAGGTTCTATTTTACATTATCTGATACTATTAAGATAAGTTCCTTCTCTAAAGGTGAGGGAAGTTAGCAAAAAGCGCAGTTCAGCCAAGTGGCAATCACGTGAATGTTCAAGGCTCAAGGCTGTAAGTGCACTTTTGCCAGTGTTATCCTCTAAAAATACATTACCAGTGTTATATATCAAATAGTCAACTAAGGCTTAATTTTGCAAATACTCCATTTTTAAAACAAGAGGAAACAACGAGTCTACTTTTGGTGATGTTCAATAATTAGAACATCCAATCAAAGGCTATTATACTTCTTTGAAACTCAACTTCACAAACTAGTATTGCAGTGATAGCAAAATTAGACAAAACAATGCCCAATGATGCTAGCCTTATTAAAACCAACATGTATTATTAAAAGCAAGATAGCACTTATGGAATACCAATATTGTGATTTAAAAATTGACACTTGAAATTCAAGCACCACAAAACTATGGGCTTGGTAATTGGGGACTTAGCTCTGTCAATCATAGACTTTTAATCAATGACATTGCACTAAAAAAAATTAGTAAATAAATTAAACTCTGCACCTAATTAGCAATACTGTTTTCCTTAAAGATCCACAGGAATTATTGTGTTCAGTCTAAAAATCACTGAAGATAAAAATCATTACACTAATAAATTTGTTTGAATATACATAATAAAAAAATGTATGTAGTATATAAAAATTAGATCTTATATTTCCAACAGTGACATTTAACACACACATCCTAAAAGGATGTGTGTGTTAAATGTCACAAACTTAACACAGTTTTGGCTCAAATATTAATTTTTCAATAAACCAAATTAAACAGTTGTTTAATTCATATCCAGCATCTCAGACTTAAAGATACCATTCTGATATTTAATAAGCTCTCTTATAAAGTTATTGTACATAGTATGATATTTCTGATTTGCAACTGAAAATGTGCATCCAAATTGATTAGCACATACTGTGAAAGATTTTTCACAATTTGCAATGCACTTTTTCAACTGCATTTGCAAAAATTCAAACTAAATGGAGGAGCTTTATAAGAGAGAGAGAATTTACTCTTCATATTAAGAGTACTGGTAGTCTTATTGTTGCACATCATAAAAATCAAAGCACATTTGTTTAATTTCCAACTTAAGAATGTCACTGGTGTCAACTTTTTCCCAATATATTACAGTATTTTATTAGGAGTATTTATACAATTTCAGTATTAATCACATAACTATTGTTTGCTAAATATTCTTAAAAATTAGCACCAAAATCTTCATCTGCAATGGAATAAAATAAATCACTGCAAATGCTATAAGGCATCAAGTTTGAAAAAAAATATGCACCATATTATCTATTAGTGTACACTTGATTATTAAGTTTTCTAAACATATATTTAAAATTAATACCACCTGTGATGACGTATTAAGTTAAAACTATACGCATAGATATTCATTCCATAAATGAGTGGCAAAGCCTTAGTACAATACTTCTAGGGGAAAAAATCCCATAACAATATAAGCTAATATTCTTTACAATATAAGCCATCTCATCCATGGAAAAACCTTTATACTGTACTACATTTACAGAAAAATTAAAGGCAAGGAAATACTACTATATTACAAGTTGCATAGATAACATGTGATGTTCTCTTTCGAAAAATAACATAAGGCAACTACATGATCAAACTCATATAGCTACATTAAATGAACTGTTTATACACTAGACTTTTGAATGGGACTCTTCTTCCTGTAAAGGCAAGATTATCAATTTCCACAATCTGTAGGAGAACACCTCAAAACAAAACAAAAATATATAACAATTACTTTTTTTTAATCAGTCCCATGTTATGTCTGGTGTCAACACCTTCATTTATAGTAAATATGCAGGTAATCCACTCTCTAGAGACAAGGCAATGGGACACACACAGGACTAGCACAGTACATCTTAGGCTACTCTAATCATCTATGCAATAATATTAAAGCAGACAATTTAATGCTAAGTGTATTAGATGATTGCTCGACTTTTGCACTCGAAAGATGTCTACACAGTTTGAAAGCTATATATATATATATATATATATATATACATCTATAATATATATATATATATATATATATATATATATATATATATATAAATATATATATGGATAATACTTTATATGTGAATGCAGACCAAGTCCACTCACTATATTAAACAATGTTATTATTTTCATGGTTGAATGCTATGCTTGTAAAAAACTAATCTAACCTATATCTCTTACCAATTTCAAATGTTCTTGTTATATGCAGCAACAAGAGGACATAAGAACTAACCTACATTACTAGACTGTACCTATAATACATTGCACTATCTGAGAAATTTAAAAATTACCTTCACAAAAATAAACGTAACTACTTGGCACAATTACAGGTCATCAGTCCTTAGACCTCCCTTTATAGAGAGTAACTAATGCAAAGTTAAATACATGTTATTCAGACAATACAGGCCTAGCATTAGTTTAATACACACTAGTTTAACTTTTTAATTAATTCTCAAATCTTATTATGGCTTTTCATTTTAAACCTATGCTAATTATTAAGAGTCCTGTCTAAGCAAAATAAATTCCCAGACTAATATTCACTATGCTTAGCTAACATCCCATCAATAAATTTTTAGATCAGTGTTATGTAAGATAAATCTTTATATTTCCTTGCTTTTAGTTATATCCTCACAAGAGAAAAAATACATAAAAGCATTAAAACACTCGGGAGTAACAATAGGAAAAAAGAAAGCATTTTGATATAGCCTGCTTCCCTTGCATATAATACCCTTTCTAAGGCAAAATTTAGATTATTAAAATATTCATATACATTTTAATGATTTATATTGCACTGTTAAGTTCTGACATACATGGATATGGTACATTAGTTATTTGTAGCATTAAAAAACAAAAGAGGCAAAAATATTATTTTGACTACAATTATACATCAAATTTAAAGGCATAAAAAGTGCACCAGTGTTCAATTATTCATTAATTTGAATATGCACATAGTTAAGTGTACCCTAAATAAATTTATTCAAAACAAATTTAAATGTCCTTTGCACAATACTTCATATTTTTCAAAACAATACACGAAGCGTGTCATTACCTTAGTAATCCTCCATCCCAGAGTACTCTACTGTGAACACATCTTTTCCAGAATTGGGAGAATCATATCAAAGGATGGTCGCTTGCCTGGGTCCTCATTCATGCAGATACGAACCAGCTTTGATATATGAGGAGAGATTCCTGGCGGAACACTGACACGAAGACCCTCCAGTGCAATCTGGAAAAAATGATAATGTTAATACTAAGCTAGAGCAAACATATCTGTTGAACCAACAATATACTTAATCCCTTAATGAAATAAAAAAAATTTCATTTACTTTCACTGTTACTCACTGAAAGGAATGAAATAATCATAAGCTCTTATTCGTTTTCACATAAACAAATAGAGAGATGGGCAGAAAACCAGTATTAATGGAACATACCCTTAATGCAATTGCTGTTTACATAATCTCAGCCACATCATAAAGAAAATTAAGGATCAAGCGAGTACGTATTTTCATACAGGCAAAGACATCCTTGTCTAAGGCCTACTTTTACTGGGAAAAAAATTTCCCTCTTTCCTACATACTCTAACTTGAGCCTCACTATCCTCGTAAAAACTCTTCACTGCTTTCAGTAACCTACCTCCTACACCATACACTTGCAACATCTGCCACATAGGGGGGAAATGTGGCAGATGTTGCAAGTGTATGGTGTAGGAGGTAGGTTACTGAAAGCAGTGAAGAGTTTTTACGAGGATAGTGAGGCTCAAGTTAGAGTATGTAGGAAAGAGGGAAATTTTTTCCCAGTAAAAGTAGGCCTTAGACAAGGATGTGTGATGTCACCGTGGTTGTTTAATATATTTATAGATGGGGTTGTAAGAGAACTAAATGCGAGGGTCTTGGCAAGAGGCGTGGAGTTAAAAGATAAAGAATCACACACAAAGTGGGAGTTGTCACAGCTGCTCTTTGCTGATGACACTGTGCTCTTGGGAGATTCTGAAGAGAAGTTGCAGAGATTGGTGGATGAATTTGGTAGGGTATGCAAAAGAAGAAAATTAAAGGTGAATACAGGAAAGAGTAAGGTTATGAGGATAACAAAAAGATTAGGTGATGAAAGATTGAATATCAGATTGGAGGGAGAGAGTATGGAGGAGGTGAACGTATTCAGATATTTGGGAGTGGACGTGTCAGCGGATGGGTCTATGAAAGATGAGGTGAATCATAGAATTGATGAGGGAAAAAGAGTGAGTGGTGCACTTAGGAGTCTGTGGAGACAAAGAACTTTGTCCTTGGAGGCAAAGAGGGGAATGTATGAGAGTATAGTTTTACCAACGCTCTTATATGGGTGTGAAGCGTGGGTGATGAATGTTGCAGCGAGGAGAAGGCTGGAGGCAGTGGAGATGTCATGTCTGAGGGCAATGTGTGGTGTGAATATAATGAAGAGAATTCGTAGTTTGGAAGTTAGGAGGAGGTGCGGGATTACCAAAACTGTTGTCCAGAGGGCTGAGGAAGGGTTGTTGAGGTGGTTCGGACATGTAGAGAGAATGGAGCGAAACAGAATGACTTCAAGAGTGTATCAGTCTGTAGTGGAAGGAAGGCGGGGTAGGGGTCGGCCTAGGAAAGGTTGGAGGGAGGGGGTTAAAGGAGGTTTTGTGTGCGAGGGGCTTGGACTTCCAGGAGGCATGCATGAGCGTGTTTGATAGGAGTGAATGGAGACAAATGGTTTTTAATACTTGACGTGCTGTTGGAGTGTGAGCAAAGTAACATTTATGAAGGGATTCAGGGAAACCGGCAGGCCGGACTTGAGTCCTGGAGATGGGAAGTACAGTGCCTGCACTCTGAAGGAGGGGTGTTAATGTTGCAGTTTAAAAACTGTAGTGTAAAGCACCCTTCTGGCAAGACAGTGATGGAGTGAATGATGGTGAAAGTTTTTCTTTTTCGGGCCACCCTGCCTTGGTGGGAATCGGCCAGTGTGATAATAAAAAAAATAAAATAAAGACAAAAATCAAAGATAGAAAAAGGACAAATCAAGAGGAAGTGTTATGAAATGAGAAGATTAACAAGAAAGTGAGAAAAGGCTAATTGCAATGATATGTCAGAAGAATCAGGATCTGATCAAATATTAACATAGAAACTTGCACCAAAACAAAGATGTTAACATTAACTCTATATTAAGATCTAAAGCCCACATAGGTCATTCATTGTAGGCTTGATCCTCTGTCTGCTAATAAGGTCCTTCAGATGATTTTGGTATCACCTTAATTGTTGCTTGCTTTGGTATCACTTTAAGTGTTGCTTATTAAGTGCTACACATGCCTGTTTTACAGATTTTCAATATTTCATCAGATACCAATACTACACTCAAAAAAGAAGAGAGGCAAGAAATCTTGAATTATAGACCAGTGTTCTTAACAAGTGTACCACGAAAGCTATTAGACTACAATATGAAAAAAAAATTGTTGAATAATTAGAAAACAAAATTTCACACTGATCAACATCACTGGTTCATCAGAATGGTAAGCCATACATGATAAACATTATAGATGCCCATGATATGGACAAAGATCTGATAGAAGAAAATAAAATGGGTGAACTGTGTATTCCTAAAGAGTAAAAAAATTAAAAATAAAAGCCTCTAATAGTATCCTAAACAAAAGGCTAATTGACAAATTGGAGAAATATGTTTAGGTAAAAAAGAATGATACTAACAAACTAAATATTATTTAAATGATAGAAAAAAGGAGTTTCAGTAATATGGAAATGTGAAACTAGTGGAGCACTTACCCAAGTACTGGAATTAGGCCCCAGATTATTCTTAATTTATACAAGTGATTTACCAACAGGAGTAACTATTACCCCAGAACTTATCTCTTGAATCATACATATATACTGCATAGACAGAAAAGCATCAGCATGTTAAACTCATAAATATAAAATCATTCAGAAACCAAGGAAGAAACCCATCCAAGATGCACTTTACCTAATAGTGCACTGTACATGAGCCCAGTTCTTCAATATGCTGCACTAGGTGGAATTTTTACCTAGTCAAATACTAGGTATGATAATCCTTTCAATCCTTTGAGGGTCCGTCCCGTAGTTCTACAGCTTTGAAGCCAGGGTTCAAGCCGCAGTTCTACGCAATGAGCTCAACTCACTCAGATAAGCTACGAGTGGTAAATTTGGGCCTAGATATGAGAGAATATATCCATGTGGTAAGTGTGCACCACATAAAACAAATCCTGCAGCATGCAGTGCACAGAGACAAAACACTGTGACCATATTTTTGGCTTAAAACGACTTTGCGGTGTTTTTTCATAAGTTTTTTACAATTGTATTCACGGTTTCTTGGTCTCATTTGAAAGAGTGGAAGATATATTACAGAAATAGAGATGATTTTGATTGGTTTTAGTACTGAAAATGGCTTGAAACTGAGCTCAAATTAACAGAAATGTTCAATTTTTGCCAATGTTCAAGAGTAAACAAATGATGTCACGCATCCAGAACAACATCGAGAACAACATCCAGTATTGGGCCCCTACTTAAACAAGATGGGTCCTACACAGATGACAGCAAGGAAATGAGTGAGCTACTCAAGTCCCAATATGACTCAGTTTTTAGCAAGCCGCTAACCAGACTGAGAGTCGAAGATCAAAATGAATTTTTTATGAGAGAGCCACAAAATTTGGTTAACACAAGCCTATCCGATGTTATCCTGATGCCAAATGACTTCGAACAGGCGATAAATGACATGCCCATGCACTCTGCCCCAGGGCCAGACTCATGGAACTCCGTGTTCATCAAGAACTGCAAGAAGCCCCTATCACGAGCCTTTTCCATCCTATGGAGAGGGAGCATGGACACAGGGGTCGTCCCACAGTTACTAAAAACAACAGACATAGCCCCACTCCACAAAGGGGGCAGTAAAGCAACAGCAAAGAACTACAGACCGATAGCACTAACATCCCATATCATAAAAATCTTTGAAAGGGTCCTAAGAAGCAAGATCACCACCCATCTAGAAAACCCATCAGTTACACAACCCAGGGCAACATGGGTTTAGAACAGGTCGCTCCTGTCTGTCTCAACTATTGGATCACTACGACAAGGTCCTAAATGCACTAGAAGATAAAAAGAATGCAGATGTAATATATACAGACTTTGCAAAAGCCTTCGACAAGTATGACCATGGTGTAATAGCACACAAAATGCGTGCTAAAGGAATAACAGGAAAAGTCGGTCGATGGATCTATAATTTCCTCACTAACAGAACACAGAGAGTGTCGTCAACAGAGTAAAGTCCGAGGCAGTACGGTAAAAAAGCTCGTTCCCACAAGGCACAGTACTCGCTCCCATCTTGGTTCCTCATCCTCATATCCGACTAGACAAGGATGTCAGCCACAGCACCGTGTCTTCCTTTTGCAGATGACACCCGAATCTGCATGACAGTGTTTCCATTGCAGACACTGCAAGGCTCCAGGCGGAATCAACCGAATCTTTCAGTGGGCTGCAGAAAAAATATGAAGTTCAACGATTGAGAAATTTCAATTACTCAGATGTGGTAAACACGGGGAAAATTTAAAATTCTTCATCAGAGTACAAAACAAATTTTTGGCCAAAAAAATAGAGCGAAACACCAACGTCAAAGACCGGGAAGTGATCCATGTCGGAGGATCTCACCTTCAAGGACCATAACATTGTATCAATCGCATCTGCTAGAAAAAGGGACAGGATGGATAATGAGAACCTTCAAAACTAGGGAAGCAAAGCCCATGATGACATTTCTTCGGTCATTTGTTCTATCTAGGCTGGAATATTGCTGAACACTAACAGCACCTTTCAAGGCAGGGGGAAATTGCCGCCCTAGAAAATGTACAGAGAACTTTCACGGCCGCATAACGGAGATAAAAACACCTCAATTACGGGGAGCGCTTGAGGTTCCTAAACCCTGTTTCCCTGGAACGCAGGCGGGAGGATACATGATTATAAACCCCTGGAAAATCCTAGAGGGACTAGTACCGAACTTGCACACGAAAATCACTCACTACGAAAGAAAAATGACTTGGCGGGACGATTGCAACACCCCCCCAATGAAGAGCAGGGGTGTCACTAGCACGTTAAGAGTCCATACAATAAGTGTCAGGGGCCGGGGACTGTTTCAACTGCCTCCCAGCATACATAAGGGGGATTACCAACAGACCCCTGGCAGTCTTCAAGCTGGCACTGGACAAGACCTAAAGTCGGTTCCTGACCAGCGGGTGTGGCTTGTACGTTGGTTTGCGTGCAGCCAGCAGCAACAGCCTGGTTGTCAGGCTCTAACCCACCAGGAGGCCTGGTCACAGACCGGGCCGCGGGGGCGTTGACCCCCGGAACTCTCTCCAGGTATACATCCAATACACGTCAGCTGGTGGGTCTAATGTCCGTTTATAATTTTTTTTTTTTTTTTTTTTATACACTGGCCGTTCCCCAAGGCAGGGTGGCCCGAAAAAAAAAAAAACTTTCACCATCATTTACTCCATCACTGTCTTGCCAGAAGGGTGCTTTACACTACAGTTTTTAAACTGCAACATTAACACCCCTCCTTCAGAGTGCAGGCACTGTACTTCCCATCTCCAGGACTCAAGCCCGGCCTGCGGTTTCCCTGAACCCCTTCATAAATGTTACTTTGCTCACACTCCAACAGCACGTCAAGTATTAAAAACCATTTGTCTCCATTCACTCCTATCAAACACGCTCATGCATACCTGCTGGAAGTCCAAGCCCCTCGCACACAAAACCTCCTTTACTCCCTCCCTCCAACCTTTCCTAGGCTGACCCCTACCCCACCTTCCTTCCACTACAGACTGATACACTCTTGAAGTCATTCTGTTTCGCTCCATTCTCTCTACATGTCCGAACCACCTCAACAACCCTTCCTCAGCCCTCTGGACAACAGTTTTGGCAATCCCGCACCTCCTCCTAACTTCCAAACTACGAATTCTCTGCATTATATTCACACCACATTGCCCTCAGATATGACATCTCCACTGCCTCCAGCCTTCGCCTCGCTGCAACATTCATCACCCATGCTTCACATCCACATAAGAGCGTTGGTAAAACTATACACTGTACTCTCATACATTCCCCTCTTTGCACCCAAGGACAAAGTTCTTTGTCTCCACAGACTCCCAAGTGCACTGCTCACCCTTTTCCCCTCATCAATTCTATGATTCACCTCACCTTTCATAGACCCATCCGCTGACACGTCCACTCCCAAATATTTGAATACATTCACCTCCTCCATACTCTCTCCCTCCAATCTGATATCCAATCTTTCATCACCTAATCTTTTTGTTATCCTCATAACCTTACTCTTTCCTGTATTCACTTTTAATTTTCTTCTTTTACATACCCTACCAAATTCATCCACCAACCTCTGCAACTTCTCTTCAGAATCTCCAAAGAGCACAGTGTCATCAGCAAAGAGCAACTGTGACAACTCCCACTTTATGTGTGATTCTTTATCATTTAACTCCACGCCTCTGGCCAAGACCCTCGCATTTACTTCTCTTACAACCCCATCTATAAATATATTAAACAACCATGGTGACATCACACATCCTTGTCTAAGGCCTACTTTTACTTGGAAATAATCTCCCTCTTTCCTACATACTCTAACTTGAGCCTCACTAACCTCGTAAAAACTATTCACTGCTTTCAGTGACCTACCTCCTATACCATACACCTGCAACATCTGCCACATTGCCCTCCTATCCACCCTGTCATACGCCTTTTCCAAATCCATAAATGCCACAAAAACCTCTTTAGCCTTATCTAAATACTGTTCACTTATATGTTTCACTGTAAACACCTGGTCCACACACCCCCTATGTGAATAAAAAATAAAAATGGAATTCTTTTGTAGAACCTGGAAATTTAACTAATAAACAGAGGAAATATTATTTTTAGTGCCAGTAATGCCTGCACTGTTTATTCTGGACCCTATTTTGAAATGGAATATTTTGAACTTTGTGTGAAATTGGCCAAATTACCAATTTCCAATCGCTTTATTGGATAGTTGTAACAGTTGACTGGGCAATTTCTTGTGCTCAATTGATAAAACATAATTAATACTAGCAAAACAGCTAAGAATTTGGTCAACTGGAATAATGTAATTGGCCTAAAATAGGAGTCAAAGTCAGCAAAATCGCTGATGCGTAAATATCGCTGATGTAGAAAAATTCGTGAGAGCGTAATTTTGTCAATTTTCCATGAAATTTCATACATTTTGTTTCATTACCTTCAGAAAAGATTTTCTACCATTTCATAAGAAAAAATAACAAAAAATTTTTTGGAAAATTCTTGGATCCTGTGGACAAATTTCAGATTGGGGCTCTGGACCCTGAAAGGGTTAATGAAAATTACCTTCATGCCAGCTTCCATTGGTGTGAGATCAGCAAAGGGAACTTCACGTGTAGCCATCTCCCATAACGTGACGGCAAAGCTCCACATGTCTGCTGCTTTCACATTGAGCTCTTTAGGTTTCTTCTGAAGAGCTGGGAAGAGAAAAGACTCTACAGTCAGTACGCTGTACAGCTGAATAGCATTCTGATGACTGGACATGGCACAATATTATTATGTATTATATAATATGTATTATTATTTTTGTTATTATTATTATTATTATTATTATTATTATTATAGCCATGGGGAAGTGGAAAAAGAATCCTTCCTCCATCAGCCATGTGTGTCAAGAGGCAACTAAAATGCCGGGAGAAAGGAGCTAGTAACCCCTTCTCCTGTATACATTACTAAATTTAAAAAGAGAAACTTTAGTTTTTCTTTTTAGGTCACCCTCCCTTGGTGGGATACAACCTGGTCGTTGAAAAAAAAAGTCTTAGCAAGCCTGAAAAGTTTACACATGGTGCTGGCTACCGTAACACAAGACTAAGTAAAATTAAGTTGTCATACATGACTAATTATCTGGTGTCCTGGTGCTACATAAAGCTGATTTATTAAGTTTAAAGCTTATCAACTGCATTAGGGTCATTAAGGTTGCAAGCCACCTATGCACCACCAGTCAAGGATACCTTAATTCCTAATACTGGGACTGAAGTAAGCTCTCGGTGTATATACAGCAAAAAATACACAGCTTTTTTTGTTTATATCCTGTCAATGATACTTTAAAAATTTTCTCACCTTCTGGGGAGAACCACTGTGGGGAATACAGTTTGCCCCGCTCCTGGAATGAAAACTTGGCATCCGCCATGCTGATTCGAGCTGTGAGATCATCATCAATCTGCAATGCAATGTCTATGTTTCAATCATATCCAATACTATATTTAAACAGTAATCTTTTGCTTCAAATATGACAGAGAATATAATATTAACAATGTATAAAACTGGATTGCTAAAGCACATGTCTCATTTATACAAACAAGCTTTTTTGTGTCTAAGAAATAAGAATGTATTGACAGATAAGATTTTAGCTACAGCAGATATATACATGTAAAAAAGTATTTCAATATATTTATAGATAGGGTTGTAAAGAGCTGAATGCTAGGGTGTTGAGAAAAGATGTGAGATTAGAAGATAATGACTTTGGATTCTGATACATTAAGTGTCACAGTTACTTTGTGTTGATGGCTTCTTTTGGAAAATTCAGAAGAGAATTGGCAAATTTGGTAGTGGAGCTGATTTAGTTTTGGTGACTGAAGCAGCCACTTGCTTGCAATTGAAATAAAAAGTGTGTAAAGAATGAGGACAGTCATCATAAGGCAGATACAAATGACAAAGTATAATGAAAAGAACACAAGGAAAAAGAAAAATATCAGTCTGTACATAATCAAAACACCACAATTTACCAGAGAATATTTGCAATTGAAGAAAAATTTACCATGTGTTGTACTAAACACACAAAGCTCATCATGACATACTTGGGAAAGTCATTTTGTTGCAAGCATGAAGGCAAACAATTTTGATAGATAACAGCATGGTATTGGAGATGAAAATCTTACCATAACATGTTTGGATGACAAATACAAATTAGGAACCAGCTTTTCCAGTGAGTGGATGAAGGACATTCCACGAGCAATGTCAAGGGCAAACTTGAGAGCCTGAGCAGTGTCAACCACTATACCACTATCTTGGTGGAGTAGTGTGAAGAGGGATCCATATGGCAGGTACTGAGTGATCACCACCAGATTTGGTGGATGGTTACAGCATCCAACAACAGGAAGAACATTTGGATGCGAGAAAATTCTGAAAAATATAATTAAGAAAATACTTTGCCAATTAATGATGCTTCTGTCACATTCAGTTTTTTTTTTTTTTCAACAAGTCGGCCATCTCCCACCGAGGCAGGGTGACCCAAAAAGAAAAAAAATCCCCAAAAAGAAAATACTTTCATCATCATTCAACACTTTCATCTCACTCACACATAATCACTGTTTTTGCAGAGGTGCTCAGAACACAACAGTTTAGAAGCATATATGTATCAAGATACACAACATATCCCTCCAAACTGCTAATATCCCAAAACCCCTCCTTTTAGAGTGCAGGCATTGTACTTCCCATTTCTAGGACTACAACTTGAAGTACAGTGTATGACTTAAATCACTCAGATTCCTACACCATTTTACCATCAGGAAAATCTCCTTCTCTAAATCTGACATTCAAAAATTTAAATGAGAATTTTTTACTCTATTCCATATCTATATTTTGCCTGAAGTTTGCATTACTCCAACAAAACACATTTCCCAACAACTAATAACTCAACCTTAAACTTTCTCTATGTTTCTTAAGCAGAATGACCTAAAGACAGAATTTTTTTAGTTTATTTAGTTGGTTACACAAAATAAACCCTGTGAAAAAATAATGAATTTCTAAGCTTTTTTGGTGATTTCCAATGAAATTAGGAAAGCACTTGGAAATTCACTATTTTTTCACCATGGTTATTTTGCAGATTGTGAAATCACCTGTTTATTGTGATCTTATTGCATTAGTTGGTTATGTTAAAGAAAAAGAGTAACCAGCTTCTTGCACTAACATTTTAGTTGTCCTCTACAACACACATTCATCGTAAAGGATTCTAACCTGATGTCCCCATGGAGTGGAAATGAAAGTAAAACAGGTGGTCACAGTCTTGAGAACTTATTCAGGAATCTTATAGGAAAATGACAGGTAATCAGTATATAATGAATATGCACTAAGTGGGAATTAATAACCTTGGCATGATACCTTGATGGTTATGAGACAGAATGAAACTCTAGTAAAACCTCCAATATATCTTACACAATGTACCTCCTTTAGTTTATAAACTTTTCCCTCTCTTCCTTTCTGATGCCACTTTCCTTCTTGCTCATCTAGTTTTACTCTCACTGTAGCTATTGTCTATTGGACCAACCACTGACCAGGCTTTTGTTTGCTCATTATAATGATATGACAGTAGTGTCACTCCATGCAGTTGTTGCTTACTCTCCTCTCATCCATAACTCGTAACTTTTTTTTTAATGAACCAGCCATATCCCACTGAGGCAGGGTGATCTAAAAATAAAAACATCTTTTTTTTTTTAACACGTTGGCTGTTTCCCACCTAGACAGGGTGACCCAAAAAGAAAGAACCAAAAAAGAAAAAAAATATCATTATTCAACACTCGCCATCACTCATACATAATCAATGTCTTTGCACGAGGCACTCAGATACGACAGTTTAAATTTAGTAATTTATACAGAAGGGTTTACTAATCCCTTGCTCCCAGCATTTTAGTTCCCTCTTACAACACACATCTTATGGAGGAAGAATTCTTTTTCACTTCCCCATGGAGAAACTCATAAAATTAGAGTATGTAATATCATGGTTTTTACCTCAGTCGTGGAAACTCGTCATTAAAATCTCTACACACTCTAGGAGAGCAGTCTCTGAGAGCCAGTATCTTGGCAACAATCTCATTGCCTTGCCATTTGCCACGCCACAGCTCTCCTGAAGGACTCACAGCTATCTTTGTATGAAGAGCTAACTCGTTGATGTTAATGCCCTTGTGTCGAGAAAGAGTTGCATCACCTAGTGAGGAAAAGATTTCATGGAAAGCCAACAGAAACAAGATAAATATTACATTAATATTTCACAAATGAGTAAAGTGTTTTACAGTGTGTATTAACAGTTTTACATAAGTATGCATTGCAATTTATCTAAAAAATACTAGACCCTACCACATGACACCCTATATTTCATTTTACAAACAAAAAAAATTATCTTCAAAGAAATGCCAATGGTTTCAGCAAAACACTGCAGCATAAACAGAGCATTGTATAAGGAAAACCAGTGGAATACACATACACCCCACCAAGCAGAGAAAGGAGGGTTGGAGGAAGGAGAGGGAAAAGAATTACAATATTTTGTAGACCCTATCAGACAATATAAATACTCAAGTACAGAGTTTTATAATTTTTCCCACCATGTATTCTTTCTTGTATTTTATTTACATAGTTGTTTACACCTCAAGCTAATGAACAAAATTATACAATGAGAAGACTTACGGCTGCGAGTCTTAAGGCCAAGCCAACTTTGATCCTTGAATGCCACTTTTTCCAGATTCTGACCACTGTCTACAGCCATTGCTGTAAAGAGTAATTAAAAATTATAATGCTTCATTATTTTAAATTAAGAGAACAAAATTTTGAAAAAGAATAAGAACTTCATAACCAAATACTGCATAGTAAAATCAAACTTACAGTACAAAAATCCTGAGAATAACAAAGTAACTGTACATGCGATGTCTTTCAACAAAATAAAATCTTATTTTTAAAGCAATGTTTATAATTTTTAAAAAATTATAATTTAATGACTACTGAATACTGTATTATCCTAAATATACAATTTAAATCTAATGTAATGATGTAAAAAATAAAAGGACTTACTGTGGAGCTGCTTAGCCAGAACTCCACGGCACTTGTCAAGGGCAACTTCCCCATATTTGTTAGCAATGGAAACAGACGCTCCAGCTTGCACTAGGTCCTCTGCAATCAATTCAAAGCCCCAGAAACATGCATAATGGAGAGGCGTGTTACCATGTTCATTAATGAAGTTGACATCTGCTTTGTACCGAAGGAGCTGTGGGGTCGATTACAAATATGTACATTTAAGCAATACTGCATAACTTGAATAACCATGATAGTAATTCAGGTATTTACTTAAGGTATAGAGTAAACTGTGGCTGGAAAAATTCACAACTAACCCACAATTATGGGAATAAACTTAAATGCTTCCGTGTTTTGTAGCTTAGTAATACTACAGGACAGACTAAAACATGGCATTAAGTTTCTTTGTTTTTTTAACACACTGGCATCTCCCACTAAGGTAAGGTGACCAAAAAAAGAAGAAACACTTTCACCATCATTCACTCTTCAATGTCTGCCAGAGGGGCACCAAAACTATAGTGCATATGACCTTCCAAACTACAAATACCCTCACCCCTCCTTCAGTGTAGTCACTGTACTTCACACTCTAACAGCCCATAAAGTCTCAAAAAACTATTTGCCTCCACTCACTCCTATCTAATGCACTTACGCATGCCTGCTGGATGTCCGAGGCCCTTACACACAAAACCCCTTTACTTCCCTCCCTTCATGCTACCTGCAACTTATCTGTGACCAAATTCTAGCATTTCTACTCTCACAGCCCAGGTTAGGAGCCAGCATTCCTGTTGACTACCTAGTCAGGCTATTACTTATGGCCCTCAGGCCTTCACATTAATCAGAAACTAGCCAAGAAGGCATTTATTGCTTGAATTTTAGTTTATAAATGCAAACTTTTATCATTTCAGAAATATTTCATACATTTGCTGGTAGAAAAAGTGAAGCAATACTTAGATTCCTTGAAACTGGGTACAAATGTTTCTTGCTTGCTACTATATGACAGACTTCCAACACAGCCCTGTTTTGTCAGCATTAAACATTTGGACAGGACTGTAACCATTCTCAGAAACGAGCTCCACAAAGTAAGCAGTGTAACTTCATGTGGTTACATGATCAGCTGATGCACTCTTGCAACTAAACTTCCACGATATGAAACTGATTGCGCTTTTAAAATTATCAAACCATCAAGCATTACATATACGCTGTTATGAAAGCTCCTACCTTCTTACATGTACTTTTCTAGGAGGTTAAGGTTTTACACCTTATTAAACGAGTACTAAGCAGGGCTCCTTGCCTTGTTTTCAATTCAATTTGCAAATTCAGTAACATTCCAAACACTTGACCCTTAGGCTCAACATGAGCTGGAGGGAAAAAATTCAGCAATGTGGACTACCAAAATTTTGAATGTAATCTGATGTCATGCTGATTCTTTCATGTACGAGGTTACAGTATAAGAGGTTTACTGAATTCAACATAATTTTACCTTAAAAATTTTAAGGGTTTTCCCAACCCAAGTTCAACAGTGACATCACAGGGGCTTCAGCCCAACCCATTCTTTGATCTGATTCAGTAGCTTTTGTCATAAATTACTTACATAGCCAACAATATCTCGGTGACCATGAGCTGCGGCCAAATGGAGAGGGATGTCATCTCCTAGATTTGTGGCATTGATGCGTGCACCCCTAGTAATCAGCATCTCCACAATACCAAAATGTCCCTCCTTGCAAGCCCAGTGTAACAATGAGAAGCCATGGTCATCTCTGGAATCAAGGAATTTTTAAAGCAAAAATAATATAATTTCAATTATGCAAAGTGCATGCAAATAACGTATGACTAAAAAAATGTATATTTACAGCACAAGCGTATCTTGTTACCACAATATAAATTATGAACTGACCAAAGTATAATTGTAGTTTTGATAGAAAATTTGTTGACATGCTTTGTTGACTCACTATAGTGAGTCTGATTAATATGCAAGTAAATACTCATCATTACTGATGTTGGTCTCTGAGAATTCATGATTCAGTCAATACTGCACGACCAATTATGGCTAATGAATCACGTAATCATAAAAACACAATTGCAAAGAAGCAACCGTACAGGTGGGGCTCAAACTCACGATTTCATGAGTCATGATGATAGCTTTGAGGGCACTTGAGCTAGAGTTCATCATGGCTACACTGGCTGGAGATTCATCTTTAAAAACTTGCATTTGTGGTCACAGTGAGACTCATGATAACCTCCCTATGGTGTATAAATATACCTATTTGGAAGAATCTTATTGTAGCCAGCTGACCCAGCGGCTTACTCACTGCCCTGGAGTTTTATGACTCAATTACTGTGAGTTCGAGCCCACCCGTACTGTGGTTAATTATGGTTAATAATTTTTAAGTCATATAATTAAGCAGTACGTAGTTAAATCAATGACAGTATGATATTTGATACATTAACACCTACAGCACGAGTGGAAATAAAACAAAATCATATAGTGAAAATGAAATATGGTGCCTGTTAAACTGTTATCTATCATCGGTACTGGGGCTCATTGCCCTACAGTTTGATCTCAAACAAGGCCTCCCTTAAAGTGAAAATAAAATATTTTAGGACAATGTCAATCAAGGAGTGAGAAGCTAGTTATCAAAACTTTAAAGAAATATAATATAAATACTTAGACACATATAAAGGCAATTAAAAATTACATCTGATAAAATACTTGGGGTAAGAGGAATGAGATTTATTAAAATATGGAAAGAGGCAGAAGAGTATGACTTGACCAATGCAGTAAACAGATTTTAAAGTGGGAAAAGCAGCTGGGAACAGATGGGATTAAGACTAAAATGCTGAAAGCAGGTGAGGATATGTTGGAATCCTTGATGAATTTGTTCACTCTATATATTAAAGAAGGGATAGTACTCATGTATTAAAAGATTGGTGAGAAAGATAATGCACAATTGCAGAAGTAAGCAGTTTAAAAGAATAAAAAACTTGTAAGGGGTTGACCAGCACCTTGAGTAGTGGGAAGCAGTCAAATCTGATCCAAGGAAAGGGACAATAGGTCTAATTCCTTGGATCAAGAACCCCCTCACAAGCATCAAAACACCTCACCTGAAGAGTATTTCTGTGCCATAAGTGTCATTGTAAGTATTGCCCTGTTTCCACTGAAGCACAGAGCTAGGTGTAAAGTACTTAAACAAGAGAAAGAAGCTGTTTCCTGCATTTATGGCTTTGGAAGAAAAAAAAAAAACATTTATTAGAGGTGATATTTATGGAATAGGTAGAAAGTTGTTAAACACAGTAAAAAAAAAAAAAAACTTAAGCAAATGAGACTCAGGTCAGGGTGTATAGAAAAAAGAAAGAATATTATCCAGTAAAGACATATCTAAGATAAGTTAGAGCTGGAGAGTGCTTGATTCTTACCCTTGATTCATGTCATGTTCAGTGTCATCGAGCCATAATCGCACCTGTACAGTGTTGCCTTCACGGCACCAGTGGAAGATGTCGTCCATGATTTACAGCTGTCAAGATAAGGCAAATGAATAAGTTTAAAAACTACCAAAAGTACTAGCCTACATAATTTTTTTTTAAATTACAACCTGCATTATATCCAATGCCAAACTATTATTACATTTAGTGCCCTTAGCTCTTATAACTCCTGACTATTTACATTTTTTCATGGTATAGTATTAACATATGAAATACATATTAAATTACCAATGGATTCTAGCCCAGAAAATCTCACTTTGCCTTACTAAGTCAAGTACAGATAGCTTCTCTAATATATTAAGGCTCAAAACATAAGAAATGTCCCCCAATGTAAAAACTTGAAATACACTTTTAATATTAATAAGAAGCATCAAACCCATCTGCTCTTCACAAGACAAGACATGCTACTCTGTCCAGTTTTTCCCAGAAACTGAAGAGAAACAAGTTAAACACATTCCAGCTTATAAGCATCAATTTTATCTTCACAGTTGGGAAATACAATGTGTACCTACAAATGTAACTCAAGCCAACTGTTTTCACATTTTATAAAATTCTACTCACATCTGGAGGAGAATTCTTTCTTACTGAATATTTAGTGAGAGTTAATAGCCCAGGTTATCATCGAGGATTATCTGTTTTTATTTTCCACTAGGGTTCTTCATTCCTCTCCTCCAGGATGCGATCCACACCAGTCCACACCAGTTGGCAAACACCCAGGAACCTACAGTACTTACTGCTAGGTGAACAGGGGGCAGTAGATCTGAGGAAATATGCCCAACGTTTCTACTCATGCTAGAGCTCTAACCCTGGTTCCTCTGTGTT